AGTTTTAGCCAAATACTTTATAAAATAGTATAAATAATATAGATTATTCGTGTTCGTTTAATTAAACTAAACAAACGAAAAAAAACAGGTCTCTATTCATCTTTGTTCGTTCGTTCGTTTACCGAAATTTCATATGCTACGGACCTTTCAATTGTAATAAAGCATTTTTATTACCTTAGCATGGAGGGTATAAAAGACTTTTTCACCTAAAGTGGTGTAACCACCATTCACCACCTCACCTCCTCCATCCTCTACTATCCTAACGACGTCGGAAAACGTGAAATTCCTTTTCGATCTACTCGTCAAACGCACTTGCAAACCATCATCAAATTCTTTCACCTCCACCGTCGGCAGCCTTACGCCGTCGCAGGTTACCGCCGGTTGATCGTCTCTAACATCATAATCTGTATTATCTCTATCTCTCTTGTTAACCAATCTCGATGCTTCGATCCTCTTCTCCGTCGATCGTTCCACTATCTTCTGTAATTGCTCGATATAAGCAATTGATTGATCGAATATGCTATCCTGCGTAAAACACTACTGTAGAGGAAACTGAATATATAGATACAGAACTATATATGTATATTTTCGCTTAATTAATTAAGAACACGTAAGAAACCAGAAACATATGGAAAATTCGTGGATCGAGAAAGAGAATACCTTAGAGGATTGGGAGAATAAGGAGGGAACGAGAGAAGTAAGCTCGTCGCAAAGTCGTTTCATGTGAGTTCTTCTGTTCTTCTCGATCGTTTTCCGTTCCAGCTTCTTGGAACCGCCATCGCATTTCTTCATCATTGGAGTTGTTTCCTTCATCTGCTCCGGAGATGTCTTTATATCAATCAATCTCGTATGAGAGGTAACAAGTTGCATACATTTATATTTTACACAAGACACATATTACTTCTTTCCTTTTCTCGTCATAACTTCAAGGTGTTTGGTATTGATTGTTAAAACAACTTTTGACTTCAGGCTCGTTCCTGATATTTTTTAGGCCTTGGAAGAGATGTAAAAAATGGGTCATTGATAAGTACGATATTTTTTCAATATATTGTTTTTATCATCAGAAATAACATTGAATTCATATAAAACAGTTTTTCCGAGTATTTCTGGACGCAAAGTCAATCAATACTCATTTCTAAATTAATATTATTTACTCGAACAGTTTTATGTAGTATCAGTAATTTGTTTCGTCATCAAAAACATCATACGATACACTTTTGGTACATAAAATGAAATCATTTGGGGTCACAAAGTGGATTCTTCTGATTTCCGAGTGACACTATGTAAAACAATATAAAAAAGTTGGTTTTCCATGTCATCTCGTGTTAATGTTTTTAACATCATTTTAAACTTTTGTATTATGTTTTCAAATTTGGGAAGATTAGCACTATTTTAAACTTTTATTTTATGTTTTCGAATTTTGGAAGATTAACAATATTTTAAACTTTTATGTTATGTTTTCGAATTTGAAAAGATTAACACCATTTTAAACTTTCATATTATGTTTTCGAATTTGGGAAGGAAATAAAGAATGAGAAAGGAAAAAAAAAAAAAAAAGGAAAGAAGAAAAATAAAGTTTTTTATTTGTGTTTTTAATAAAGAATATAGAGGAAGGAAAAATAATGAAATAAAAATAAATTTTGATATAATTTTTTTTCTTTTCTTTTCCCTAAAAAAATCTCGAGAACATAATATTTTTCCCCCCATTACTTTCCTCTCTTTCCTACGTAAAAGAAGACTCAAGAACATAGAGTTGGAGTTAAAACAAACTTTTCTTGAATCCTCGATTATACAAATTAAAAATCTCATGTTGGTGATAGTTTGAGATCTTATTCTTCTTTTAGAAATAGAATAGTACATAAGATTTATAAACTCAATATTAGATAATAAAGAACAACAATTAAAAAAATTATACTTTGATTATTCTAAATATAAATATAAGTTGTATCGTCTTATATAGTTGGTACTTTTTCAAAAAATGGGGATTTTCTTAGCTAATAGCAAGAAAATCAATCATATTCTAAAATAAAAATAGAATTCACATGACAATAGAACAATCAACAGAGTCGATGGAAGATAAATTATAGAGAATATATCAAAGTTTTCGAAGCAAGTAGTTTTAGACATCGGTTTTAGATTAAAAAAAAACTTAGAAAAACATTAAATAATATTATATAATGAACGACGGATTAACCTATTTATGTATTCTTTTTTTTTTCAATATATTTAATTCATACATGTTTGGGTCTTTAATAGTTAATGTAGTATAAAAGTTTTTTTCTTGTCATATTAGATACTAATTTTTTTTATCCGTCTTCTATTTACTAATTTTTTTGAACTACTATTATATATATTAAAAAAATCGAGCCCCTATTTTTTATAGGCCTTGGGCATACGCCCGGCCCGCTCTCCCCCAGGGACGGCCCTGATTGACTTATTTCGGTTTGACACTGGTAATAAGCATTTTTTAGTGTTTGGATAACAGCTTATACCGGTGTCAAACCGGTAACGAAAAGTTTTTGAAGAAGTTAAACCATTCTAACTTATAATAAGTTGATAAAGACTTTTATAGAAAAAACATAAATTGTTTCAAATATACAATCCCAAACACCCCCTTATCTTTTGATCGGTTCTAATTGAATTTTAATAGTAATGAGATGTATTGGATGAATTTCTGTAACAAGTGTACTTTATGTGGTAGGAACGAGATTAAAGTTTTTTTTTTTTTTTTACATTTCCGGGTTTAAAAAAAAAGAATAAATGTAAATTATGTTTTTCATCCTTATGGTTTGTAAAATATTTTGTATTTTGTCTTTGTGGTTTTAAAATTTTGGTTTTCATCTCTATAGTTTGTAATTTATTTCTATTTTCGTTCTTGAGATCAAAACACTATTTTTAAGTATGAATAACTAAAATAGAAATGAATGGTAAATCACATGGATGAAAAAAGCAATAAATATAAATAATAAGGACGAGAAAGGTAATGAATTATAAATTACTAGTTGTGTACCCGCGCAATGCGGCGGGAGCCATGAATTTTAACGATTTTGAAGTTTCACTGGTTTTATAAGATACGATTTAACGATGATATAGGTTACATTTGGTCTTTACATATTAATACAATCTGAATAAATAAGAGTTATGGTTCCAATTACAGACTATCAATGAAAAAAATTGTATGACAATTTAAAATCCAATATATTTAAAACCTAACATATTTAAACGACTCCACAAATGTGTTCGATTTACACCAAGAGCAAAGAACCAAGAAACTTGAGTTTTAAGATAAACACTCAAAACCAATAAAGAAAACTACAAATTTGACAGATCATTAGCCATGAAAATACCAAAAAAGATGGGTTTTAGAATGAAATTTCAACTGTTTACCCTCTTTCTTGTCCAGAAACTCATATTAAGGTTGAATTATGTTGGGTCAGCAGACTCGGTGTTCCCTCGGCAGGTCAAATCCTCGTCCTTAAACCCACCGCTCCTGTAGCAATGCAGGA